ATATGTAAATAAAAACATCTATATATAAACATAAACATAGTGACTACAACCCAAGACTAAAATCTATCCTGTGTATTTGTGCGAGTTAGCCAGATTACACAACCTACGTTTGTGAAGAAGAGTTTACAAAGACTTCTCAGGCTGTGTCAAAGGAAACACCTACTACCACACTAATAACACATACTACCACACAATCTAATTCAACAAAGTGGAGACACTGTGTAAATAAAAGAATTTAATAAGAGAAAATATATCAGGTGTGCAGCAGCAACATGTCTCCAACAACGTTGGTCAACAAGCAGCATCTTAGAGGGGCGGATGTTTGCAAAAGCACGGCTTAGATCTATAATATTACTTTATTATTACACATAATTATGTTTATGTCCCTCATTATGTTTGTTGCACCTACAAAACCTCGTAGACATTGACCACAAACTCCTCGAGTTCAATTTTATCACATAGCACCGAATCACAACAGTCTAAAAATGCTTTATATTGCTAAAGCTCATAAACCAAGCTGTTAATGTAAAACCTCTGTGTTAGCTGAGCAACAGCTAAAGCAGGAAGGGGAACTCCAGGCCTCCAGCGTCCTGCAGGTTTCAGACGTGTCAGCTGATTCAGACTGCTGAAGGACCTCCTCTACATGTCCTGAGGTTCTACAGAGGTAATGAGCTCGTGTGCTGACCCAAGGTGAGACCTAAAACCTGCAGGACACCGGCCCTCGAGACCCTCCCCACCCCGGAGCTTAAGCCTGGCCAAACACGTGGGCAGTAATCAAGCTTTTCACATATGTATGAGCTCATGTTGTAAAGAACAGAGGACCAAAATACCTCCACAAACTCTGAGACTTAATTCAAAGCAGCGTATCTGACCCTCGTCTTTGTAACTCTGTAACATTCGCAGTAGATTTAGGTTTTATCAGATACACTAAAGTTAGCGTAAGATAATATAAGTAAATCTCCCCAAAGCTACAATAAAACCGTGTGTACAGTTGGCACTTTCTTCATCATTAATCAGTTTACAGAAAACTCACCTGCTGCAGGCTCAGGTCAGCTTTGACCAGTGTTCCCAGTGTTCTCCCAGAACTCCCAGTGCACAGAAATATCCTTTGTCAGAAACTCTTTGAAGTTACATGTGGTGGACACTCTGCTGCTGGTTGAAAAAATGACGACGGCGTGATTTGAGACATGTACAGTTTTATTATTGTGCCACAAACACACTGCAGCTCCTCATTTTTATTTTGATCATCTGGTAAAGTCACACATGCCCGCATAAATATTTGCACTGTTAATATGTATATATTGTTATCACCATGGGATCAGTTTTCTCTTCGACCTTTATTCTTCCAGTGGATCACACTCAAAGTAATGGCAACACGTGGGTTACATGGAAAATATGAGCAGCAAACACACTGACTGCGTCGTAGCCGCCTCACAACAACTGTTTGTCTGCGATGGCAAAGAAAAAAGGTTTACTGTAGCTTTAAAACACATCCAGACTCTCTCACACACACAGCAATAAATAAACACAGGTGTCATAAATGAAGGGGTAAAAGCCTCGGCCTGGGTTTAAAGTGGCTTTAAAACGTGATAACAGTGATGACAACAAACAATCACAACTACATTATTTATGTGTTTAAAACAAACTAAAGGACACGTGTGCTGTTACGTGTCTGCAAATCTGACGAGAAGCCCAACACCAACAAAGTTACTGGGACCATAACCCGACTCTAAGGAGCCACTGGTTTCTGGAGCTGGTTTTACACCATTTATCGTCTGTTGGAGCGATTAGTTGATCTAATCAGAACCTGTGGGCTGGTCATTGTCTCTTTAATCACTACCACAGGTCTCTTCCTGTTGATAGTTCTTCCATCTGTTACCAAATCATATGGTTTTTGCTCCAATGTCTATTTTCCGTCCATAATTTGCTAAACGAGCTTGAAGAACACTTAAAGACTGAGACCATGAAACCTGTGATGATTTTCCTAATAAATCAAAGGCAAACTGTCCATTTTCTCACAGACTCAACACTTCATTTTATCTTAAACTCAGTGTTGCAAGCTGGAGGAAATGTTGCTGCGTATGCATGGCCAATGACAGATCTGTGTAAAAGCAGAGCTGGCATTGGGTTTTTCTGCAGATTTGTTGACAATAACAGTCACAGCTGTGCTTTAAAAGGGGTGAAAACGCTACGTGTAGCTGCAGGTAAGGAAAAGCACCAACATGAGACACGAGGACATGAGTGCTGCACCGAAACATTCATCATCACGACTTTCTTTCTCCGTATAAACAGCACACAGAGGTGCAGCTCTGTGACAGGAACTCCACACGTGTGGACAGATAACATAAGGGCAGATGCATTGTGGGAAGACAAAAGGTGTGACCACAGCCTGTGTAAACAGATCGGCAGGTTCTGATGATTCACACTTTATTCTTTCTGGCGTTAATCTCATGTGTCTGCGTCGGTGCATGTACAGCAGGTTTACGTGGGCTAACGTGGTAAATGCTTTGAATTATTTCAGCTTCTTTCCGTCCCAGCTTGACTTGTCAGCTCCCCTATGTACAAATGTTTACAGTTCAAGAAGAGGCCGGTGCGCGAGGCGAAACATGACGCGCCTTTTCTTTCTACTCCGCCTTTGGTGCATCGTACCTACATCACATCAAAGCAGCCGCAGGAAACACGAACAGAAACCATCAGGACGGTGAGGCGTGGCTATCTTTGGTCACAATCAGAGCGAACATCTACTGTTAAAGCACAAAAACACGGTTCTGACAAACCAAAGAAGAAAGAAAAACTCCAGTGATGAGCAGGGGGCGGTTTGATCTGAGGAAGTGTACGTCACCAAAAGCTTTAGTGGAAATGTAGATCAGTGGAAGCAGCTGCTCAGCTCAGGTTCTCATCCTCCTCATCCTCCTCCTCCTCCTCCTCCTCCTCCTCCTCGGTGTCCTCACAGTAGCGCTGGAGCAGTCGCTGCAGGTGCTGCTGCAGCGCATCAGGCTGCAGGGCGTCTGCGGTGTTGTCCAGGCGCTCCAGGTGCACATGCTTCCCCCGAGCATCCCTCACCACGGTCCTCTTCTGGGTGCGTGAGTTACGCATCTGGCTTCTGCAGGGACAGGAAACATGGTACTTCATCCAGGATCACATGAGGGGCTGCAGACTCTGCAGGGTAACCGTTTGTTTCATAAAGAACAACAAAGGCATCACCTTCATGTCCATGTTAATTAATTATAACCACATGATGCATCATGCTTTAAATGTTGTTTAAATATTTGCATCATGATTTGAAACGTTTTTGTGCTTTTTCTGATATTTCAGATTTCTAGAACCATCTAAACAAACTCTTTCCTAATAATTGTAACTGTATTGTATCTATACTCGTGGTGTTGTTGGCGTACACGTCTAAAAGCTGGTTTGAGTCCAGCTGGAGTTGTTATTGGATCAAACATGTGGCGACGCCCTTTTATGATGTCACACATCGTGTGGACTGAAACAACAGCTGAATCAGTTCACTCTTATATTCACAGCCTGTTCTCACTCTGCAGAGCATGAGCAAACATTAGCATATATTTAGGAGTGGAGCATCATGCAGCTTTGCTTTATTACTCACTGGCTGTACCAGTAACGGCACCATTGTTTCAGGAATGCCAGTAATGTGAAATATTTGGTACACATGTGTCTGCATCTGTTATTGCTACGCTGCACATCTCAGGATCTGATGAAAACAACAAAGTTGTATAAATGTGTGCTCGTGTCTGTTTTCTCACAGACAATAAAGGTTAGCACAGAGTC